TCTTCTATATGCTTTTGTTTGGTTTTGCATCGAGTTTGTGTCAAAAAGGGACACATGGACTATGAATCTGTGGAAACAAGCCACGGTTATGAGAGAAAAATTGGGCAGGAAAATATGAGGACGACAAGGAAATCAGGATAATCTGATCCTAAAATATTTGCTCTGGATTTTGGGCATGCAATGAACCAAGCTGCATGAATGCCATCCCCTATGAGATTGCACTTGCGCAGCAATTTGGATACTTCCTATACCCTGCACCTCCCTTCTAGAGCAAAGTCACATGTTTCAGTTCTGAAACACCCAAGAGAATGTTATGGAAATACTGGCTTTTAAAGGTTTCAGTTCTGTAGAATGCAGTTCTAAATACAAGCTGAGTTCCTTATCTTTGGTTGTTTGGAAAATGATTTCAGGCTTCCAAAATGTCTCCCTGAAGAAAAGAAGCAGTGAGTGAAGAATGAGAATATCTGAAATTCTAGGATTAATTAACATTATTACTACTTGCGGTTAGGCTTTCTATACTATTGCAGGATATTGCTGCCACAATCCTCACTGGAGCACTCACTCACAGGCATTCAGAACACATCTTGGTCATTTGCCATCTTAAAACAAGCTGTTCATGAGAACATGGAATGCAAATGACAGATGGTTATCTTGAGGTCTCAGAGAGGTAGGAGACAGTCTATGGAGTGTTGGTAGTTCTGTGCTACAAAACAGAAAATTGAGCTAAGGGCAGCTTTTCTAACCTACTGTGCTTGCAAGAATGCCTGGATCCTACTATCTGGGCCCCATGTCTTTCCCTCCCTTACTGCTTTAATTCATATCACTATTATAGCTAGCTGTAGTAACTATAGCTCAGCCACTACCAGCAGAGTTGTGGTCCTAGTGTCGAAGTGTGTTAAAATAATTTAAAGGTCAGTTTCATCACTCCTTAAAGTAATGAAATCCAGTATTGCAAAAAGCTGTTTTAAAAGTCATTATTGCATTCTAGACTTGGATTAGAGAACCTCGATCACCATTTCCAACTCAAAAATGAGGACCACTGGGGAACTTTTGACAACTCTCCATCTCTCAGAGACCCTCTGGACAAGTAGATCCTTCTGAACCATAATGGTAAAAGTCCTAGGTGGGACCATGCAGTCTGCTCTGACTGAAGATACTGAAGATGCTAGACACAGTTCATTCTTTTCTAGGAACAAAATAAATCTGGGGCTACTTTCATGCCTTCTATTTAACAGTCTGCAAGAGACAAACACCTGCATACAATCATATTGTACCCCTTAACATATATTCCTCTCTTTTAAAATACCCAATGAAACTAGTGTTCTCTCAAGTCACAATAATGCACTAAATTTCACATCAGGAGGTACAATTACATATAGTCTCATGAGGCACACCACTAAGCATTGGTGAAATGCTTCAGATAAATTTTTCTAGGTGGAATACTATTCACAAATCGTCTGCTTTAAGCTAAGGAGTTCAGACAGCAAGTGGTTCCCTATTTCAGAAAATGGATAATCAGTCTCCTAACATAAAAATACAAATAAAAATATAGTCGTAGTCAAACAGAGAAGGAAAATCTAGCAAATGATATAAATTCAAAATGAGAGGGGAAGTGAACTGCTTCTTCAATATTTGCAACCACACTGCTGAAAGCATGATTCATTGCCATCTTTCCCTATTCAAATGACTTTCCCAGATACCATATATCATTCTGAAGTCATTTATCAGCTTCCATTTTCTAAAGGGCATGTGATGCAGAAAACTACAGCATTCATCTAAACCAATTCCCTTTACAATTATAAAAAAAGAGAATTTCTACATTTAATGAGAGGCAACTATTTCTTAAGTTTGCAGAGCAATAGAGAGAAAAGGTTATAGTACCTCACAGAGTGCTATTTGGTTTCTCTTACCTTTTTATAAATTAATATGTGGTGACAGATATGAATACCTAAGCTGAATGAATGTGTAAAGAAATCCCATAAATTATGAGAACTATGGGGCTGAAACAAATGTCTTGCACAATTTTTCTGTTGTGCTATGATGCTAGCACAGGGGTGTGCAAACTGAAGTCCTGCAGATGTTGTTGGACTGCAATTCCCAGCACTCTTAACCTTTGATTATGATGCCTGGGGCTCATGAGAACTGTAGTTCAGCAACATCTGGAAGTCCACATTTTGCCCAACTCTATACTAAAGAGACCTTTACCCTTTCCTTTTACACCAGGGGTAGGCAACCTTTTTGAGCTGGGGGCCGGGTTGCTGTCCCTCAGACAATTGGGGGGCCGAAGCACCATCAATCAATCAATCAATAAATATTTAAAAACTTAAAAAAATTAAAAATTAAAAAAATATATGCATGCACACTCTCTCAGCCCCAGAAAAGCTATGGCAAAACCCCTGTGGAGATTTTGCCAAGAAAACCTCAAGAACAAGTAATAACAACAATAATCAATATCATCATGGCGGGCGGCGGGGGCAGCGGTGGCGGCAGGACTGGCCTGGGGCCGGTCCAAAGGCCTCGGGGGGCCGCATCTTAGGTTGCCTACCCCTGCTTTACACCATTTCTTCAATCTACAACTAGAACAGATAGCAGTATTAATATATTCCTACTGTGTACTAATAACATCTCTCTTATTTGAGATTGGGAGAGAGCCTAGGGTAGGAAAATGACGATCATAACAGGAAAATTAAGCCTCCACCCACTCATATTCAGCATTGCTGTTGCTTGCATCAAAATCGGAGCCCCCCCCCCCATCCTATGGTTGCTTTACAGTGAATTATAAATGCTGGGTGGGAATTCCACTTCTAAATATCTAGTGTCACATCTATTAGAGGCCACCACTTATATCTTTTGTCTCATGGACGAGAAAGCACTTGGGGGAGATTGGAAAAACAGCTCCTAAACAACTACTAATGAGGAAACTACAAGGACATTTCCTTTCTCCAGAGTTACAATGGTCAGTACAACAAAATCCAAAATCAAGTGAAGAATGATACCGTTACTGGCCAACCAAAATGCAGTATATGAAACATTCAAGCTTTTGAGGCTGGTATTTTTCTTTTGTGGATTTTTGGATTTTATCTGTTGCACACCCATGAATAAAGGTTAATAATGGCAGATCCTCACTAGACCAGTCTCTGGAGTAGAAGCTGCATGAACACTCCAAAAGAGCAAATGGATATGTTGATCTAGAACAATTTTTAAGCAGTTTTCATCTCTAGAAGAAATGGGTCTTTTGTAAAACTACCACCAAGTATTTTGAATTGCAAGAGCGATCATTCAAAACAATACTTTGTTGTGGGGAAAATCCAGTCCCCCTCCTGTTTCTATGAGAAATTTAGTTAAATTAAGAGGCAACTGATGGGGAGAGTCCAAGGGAAGGTGGAACATGAAATCATAGTCTCTGATTGTCAGAAAGCCCTGCAGCTGTTCTTGGGGTGAACAACACAACAAAAATTTGATTTCCACAAATCTACTTTTATTTAACTTTATATTTCTAGTGGAGATGGGAATTAGGAGACAAAGGTTTCACTGCATTTCCTGCTAATCATTCATGAAGAGTTGTTCAAACAAATAAAGTGAAGTTTTAAAATGCTATTCCCCGCAATATGGATTGAATTAAAAAGATCCAGACTCACTGCATGAATCCACACTGCAGAAATAATCCAGTTTAACATCACTTTAACTGTCATGGCTCAGTGCTATCGAATTTGGGGGAATTGTAGTTGGTTGTCACACCAGAGTGGAGAAAAACAAACAAAATGAAACAATTTAGTCAAGAAGTGGTACCTACAGTATGAAGAGTTATGTTACAGCAAACTATGTATCACTATATGCTGACAGTGAAGGGCTGAGCTTCAATCTAAGGAAAGAGAAGGAAATAGCAACATCATCAGTTTAACTGGCTGAACATCACTGTCTGTGTTAAAGGCTGCTTTGTAAGCAGTTTCAAAATTTTATGAAATCCTAAAACTGCTTCTTCCAGTATGATACAATACAACAAGGAAAGACAACAGTCCTAAAGTTTAACAGAAACAGGTGAGCACTTACAAAATTGTGACCCCCCATACAGCATGGAAATGGAATATGTTCTTTTGTTTTGTTTCCAGTTTTATCTGTATCGGGGGACTTTGAGATACCAGACAACCAGATGTTTGCAGTTATTAGCTGAATAGACCGACTACTTCCTCGGTTTACAATGTCATAATTAACCTAGACTGTGATTTTATACATGGGGCTGGAGGAACCCAAAGGTAGTTTTAGGCAAGAAATCGTACAGAAAGCTTCTGGGCTACATCATTGTCTTCACAGCCCCACTGAAAAATAACATATATTTACACTGGAGATGTTTATTTTATTTTTAAAATGTATTTACCAGAATTAGATACACTAATTCAGTGGGATCTTTCATGAGAAATATCTTATGACTAACATTAATGCATGCTGTAATTTTCATATATACCAAAAATATTTAAGATGGTTACTTAACAGTAAATATTAACATCTCCTTCTTGTTGCTGCAAGTACCTCTTGAATGATTTATCACATTCTCATATTCAGGTGCACAATCTGACAATAATCTTAGATCCATATCTGTTACTAGAGGCCAAACTGCCCACAGGCACAAAAAGCAACTGCTACCAGCTTTGTCTCATAAGGCAGTTACAACTGTTTCTGGACAAGATTAGTTTGGCCAGAGTGTTTCCCACTCTGGTAACTTCAAAACTGGATTACCTGGCTAACCTTGGGCTTAGCTTGGAGGGTACAACTAGTACAGAATGTGGCAGCCTGGCTGTTTAGTGGAGCCTCCTCCCAGGCATACTTAATGCCTACGATGAAAGATCTGCACATTTGGCCAATTAGCTGCTCAGCCATGTTCAAGGTGCTTTGTTGTAGTTGATGTTGTATGCCTTCAAGTCGTTTCCAATTTATAGTGACCCTAAGGGATTTTCTGGGGCTGAGAGTGTGTGACTCACCCAAGATCACCCAATGGGTTTCCATGGCTAAGTGGAGAATTGAACCCTGATCTCCAGAGTTATAGTCCAGTGCTCAGACCACTACACCACACTGGCTTTCTTGTGCTGCTCTATATACAACTCAGGACCGAATTATCTGAGAAACTCTGTTTTCCTGCATAAACTGTCTGGATCCTTATGTTCAGGGGAAGGGCAGGCTCTTTTTACGGTAATCTGTCTAGCAAGGCTTATTTGGCTGTGATGTGGATGTGGGTTTTCTCTGTTATGCCCCCCACTCTGTGGAATGATCTCCCCATTGAGTTATGATGTGTATCCAGGCATTTCCCTTTTTATTTTCTTAATTGTCAGCTCTCTCTCACTCTTCATTTTAAACAAATGGTTTTATGAAAATTAGTTTTTTATTGTTTTATCATTTCATTCTTTTAACCACAATTTTCTTGTATTTTTTATTGTGAATCAGTTTGGGATTTTTAAAAAAACGAATTGTGATGTGTGTTTGTGTGTTCAAAATAATGATGATGGTGGTGATGATAATGATGATGATAGGTTTCTGCTTTCATGTAGATATATATGGGATGTAATATCTGCTTCTAGCAGAGATTAAACAGTAAGTAGGATGTAGCGAACCTTTCAGTTTATATATCACATACATAGCATGTATACAAAGGGACCTTGCAGCATCTTTGAGACAAACTGAACAAACTGAAGTCTATATTTCAGTCTCAAAGTTGCTGCAAGATTCTTTTGCATACTAATTTTCCAGACCAATACAGCTATGTCTTTGAATACATAGTGTGTATGTACCAAATCTGTGATATCATACATACTCTCATGGATATATATATATTTGCAGACTTATATAAATATGCATATGCATGTTAAATATGCAGAGCATACAGAGAAAGCAAATCAGAGATAGGAACAGGAAAGCAGAAAGCTAAGGTTGTAGTGGCCACAAGTAAAATGATTGGCATATGCATTAAAGTGACAAAGATACCAAAGTTTAAGAGTTCAGAGATAAATCTCTGGAATTGAGCATAGGAAAGATTTTGTGCAAATGAGTTTTTTTCCCTAAGTAACTTTCTTTTCATCCTGTCAATAGTACAAAACCTGGAGCTTTAATACATGCAAAAAAAATCTAATGATTATTTCCTTAAGTCTCATTTTTGCATCAAAGAAAATCTGAATATACGGTAATCTCCTTTTAAAGTGGATGCTTTTTAAAAAAAAAAGAACCTGAAAAGAAACCCCCCACTCAATACTCAAGTCAATGTAGACTGGTTATGAACAATAATGATGAGCTTTAAAATCCAAAAGTTTAAAAAGTTTGAAAAGTTACTTTAATAAGTAATGAGATACAGTTCCAACTCCCTCCTCCCTGCAAATCATTATTACAGCAACAACTTCAAAAACCACCAATATGCAAAGACAGTGAAAATAGTTATTTTTAGCTACTTTTTAATATAACATCAGACTGCTAGAAGCCTCTGGCTCATGGCAAGAAAAATAATCGTGTAACTTTAAAAGTAATTTCTACAACTCTGTTATAAAGAAAAAGGAGTAAAGGTCTCATCCTAGGAGAAAGCTGGGATAGAAATAAAATAAATAACTTCACTCAGGCTGCTGCCACACTGCAGAATAAAGCAGTTTGACACCACTTTAACTGCCATGATTCAATGCTATGAATTCTGAGATTTGTAGTTTTGTGAGATATTTAATTTTCTCTGTCAGAGAGCGCAGGTGCTCCACCAAACCACAAATCCCAAAATTCCCTAGCAATAAGCCACAGAGATTAAAGTGATGTTGAACTGCTTTATTTCTGCAGGATGGCAGCAGCCACGGTAACTGAAAATTAATTAGTGGATTGCAACTAAAATTTTATTTGTAGCTACTGTCCTCTGACTTCTGAGGATATTAACCCACCCTTGGTGCTAAAAATACAAAGGTATGAAACTGCTGCAAGGCTGATGAACACAACAACAATGGGTTGGGGGCCTACATATAGACTACCTGACTCTCCCATACCAATCTAAGATCTCACACATTTGCTCAAATGCCTGGAGAGGGTTTGATGCATGTAAATGCCAGGTAATTACAAAAAAAGGCATGAACCACAAACAAAGGAATTTGCATAACTGCCCAACCTCATTCATTGTGGCATCAACAGATGCATCAAAAAAACCCAAGAGACATTGTGATATATCAATTATCACATTTATATCCTGCCAAGCTTAGACTTATCTAAAGTAAATCTCCAAATTTTAAAAGATATTGGACCACTGTAACTATAAAACATCACCACATCACCCAAAATGTACTGAACATCAAAACAAATTTATAGACCAGTAAATATAATATGCAGCTGTGACAGGACTTCATAGTTTACCTGCCCTGGTCTGCAGGTCTCTGCTGACACTTATCATACAGTGTGCACTGGGAGAGAAATGGACACATCATTGCTTAGCACCCTGCTCTCCAGCACCTTGGAAACCCTTTTGTTAGAATGAGGGATGCCAGGATTCAAAGATATATTTTGTGGAGCACATTCTGTTGTTGCATCAGATTCTAATTATCAATTAGAATCTAAACATCAATTCTAATTATTGAAATGACTGACTTACAGCATTGTAAATACTGAATAGGGCACTAGCCTATGTTTTGAGTAACTGAGCAGGTTCATATAGGCATCCTGTATATTAAAACAGTCTTCAAATTCATACATTGTTAGCCAAGGGTGGGCAAACTTCAGGATTTCTAGAACTAATTTGTTTTTCATCAGAACCCTGAGATTTACTAGCTAGAACCAGAAGGAAAATAATGCTCAAGCAGGCAGTCATACATTAAGGATAAAGGGATGCACTCAGCTCACTATGATCGATTCTGGAACCCAAGTCACACACCAAACCCATTTCTTGGTTTTTCTCTGAGCATTTTTTGGCAGCACTTGATGGGTGGGTGAGAAAGCTTTTCTAGTTGCTACTATTGTTAGACAAACAGAAATCAGAATTCTTTGCGAATCCACTGCATAGCACTCAAATATCTACCCTGTTGCACCTGTTCCTGTTTTAGAGCCCATTAGATTAGGCCCATCTCTTTGAACTATGTTCAAAAACATTTCATGATATTTCAACTATGTCTCAGATTTCCTCATGCCATTACAGTATTTCAGGTTTTAGCAGAGGTTTCCAAAGGCAGCTTCATCTATATTGCAGTAATCAATGTGGATATTGCCAAAACAGAGAGAATGTCAGTCTTTTACAACCCTTGTTAAGAGCGCCTTGTGCACAACAGCTGCCATTGAAGGACCCAAAGGGGAAGGCTTCTAATGCAAGCCTCTCTCTCTCTCTCTGTATTTGTGTGTAGCTTTAAGTGAGAAGGAAGGAAGGAAGCCACCACCATGCCAAAGCCTGGAAGGGCATGCTTGCCCCTTCTCACCCCTCCAGCAGGAGGAGGGCCTGACTGGGTGTCACCACTCTTCTGTGGTGTCACCTGGTGTGGTCCACATATCTCGCATCTGCCTAATAACTGATGCCATCGATTGAAGAGACAGGAAGTACCTTCAGGCTCTTATCATCTTGGATAAGGTGCAATCTGAACATTGTGCTTGGGTTATTTAGCAAAGGAGAGGGAAACTCATTTTTGTGTGCCTGTAGTATCAATGTGGTTATTACAGATCTCTGTCCTCCAAATGCAATTTATAAATTCTATGTTTCTTTTGTTCCTTGAATCTTAAACTAAAAATCTTTGTAAAGAAATAGAACCTGGGTTGATTAGATGAGCATTGGAAATGATTGACTACAATGTTTACAAGAAAGAATCGCTGTTCTTCTATTCAGATTAAGGACTATCTTACTGTTATTGTTCTTGTGCTTTTAATTATCTGTAGCTGTATTGTTCTGTACAAA